ATCTTCTTTTATTACAACAATATCATACCTTGAATTTATATTTATATATAATCACTTTCTTTCTTTAAAATGATAATATTATAAACTTAAAAAACACTATTTGTTTTACTTTAATTTAGAACTACAAGATTCTACGTAAAGGTTGGAATAAGTAAAAAGTTGTTATTTAATTTAGGAAAAGCTTAATAATTTTTACTATAATTAATAGTAGAATTTCAAAAGTTTTAAAATTCCAAAATATTTGTAATTTTTTCATTCTCTATGCAAATAGGTATTTTTTTCACTGACACTCAACTACATCTTTCCTTTATTTTTAGTCCTCTCTCATTGTGTTGCTTTCGAAGTCAAAACTCAAGACATAATCATACGTTCAAGTTAGCACGAAACTTATATATCAAAGTTATATCTTGGTTCGTTAAGTTTGTACTATTCTAATCTTAATTTGATGAAGTTAAAAATGATGTTTGTCTAACAAGGTAAATATATCTTTTGGACGTGTGTATTGATTTAGTTTTTTAAGTTTGTTATATTATTATGCCCTCCGTGCAAGTCCGTGCGCCATTTTGTTGGCTTCTCTCCGATATAATGGATTGACACTACAAATTTCTCCTTCATCCACAAGTCAAGATTTCAATGAGGTCCAGATTTTTAGCATTCAACAGCCTCTACATCTCCAACGAGTCTGTTTCGAGGTGAGTTTGTAAATGTTTTAGACCCTTAAGAATTGGTGGCAAGGAAACCCCTATGGCAGTTCCTTATCTTTTCAGGTATGAGTTGGTGGGGGCACCCATTTCTCTAGCTTGTGCAAATGGTTTGATTGTGTCGAATGTAGGGGCGGATCTACGTGGGACGGGGCACCTGCCCCATGACTTGAATTAAATTATATATAGTATAAATGTTTAGCATAAAAAATATATATTTTTGTGAAAAATATATACTTTTATTTAAAATAAAAATTAAGTTTTTTTTTTTTTACAAATTATGTCTAATTAAGTTTGTCGCAACGTCATCGCGACGCGGATCAGGGTTTGGAGTCGCCACCAATCATCTACGAGGTGTGATTGGTCACCTAAAAATAAAAACAAGGTCTGCGAAAACAGATCATTGGTTCGGGAGTCGACTGAGCATAGGGATGGTGTTAGCATCCTACGACACCCGTTTGAAAACGGTACCACATTTTGTCAAAAATTATCCTATTATGTTATTTGGTCCAAAAAAAAATACTTTTTTATTTTAAATGTCTTATATTATATTAATTCACATTTTATTATAAGATATGAATTAATAGATATAAGTGGCACGAAATCACGGCACACATAAAAGACTTGAACTTTTAATATGGTTGTTAATACCCAAAGCTCTTGCCAGTGTGCAAAGACCTTAGTATGCAATTTAAAATCGTTTTTTATAATATAAACTTTTTATTTTTTAATTTTGTTTAAAAAAAAATAAACGAAAAAATTTATTTAAAAAGAAAAAAAAACTTTTATTTAATAAAAACAATGATAAAAATGAGGCATTTCAAAGACTTGAACTTGTGTCATGTATGTCAATACCCTGGTGCATTGCCAATGTGATATTGGCTTAGGATACATATTATGCTCTTTTTTAAAATACAAACCTTTGTATTTTTTAATTTTATTTAAAAAAAAAGGGAAAACAAAAGTATAAACGAAAATTTAAATAAAAAGAAAACTCTTTATTTTGTATTCCTATAAAACTGTTTTATACAAAAAAATAAAAATGAAAATAAAAAATCTTATTTAAACAAACTTATTTAAAATATCTTATTCAAAATTTTCAATCTTAAATAACAAATCTTCCAAAAACAAACTTTACATACGTATGATTTTAGATTTATTAACTTTAAAACAAAATTTATTTAAAAAAAAAGAATCAATATTCTTTTATTTAAAAATAAAGGGAGAAACCGATTAAAAAAAAATGCAAGAGGAAATGGAAAGAGACAGAGAGGACGTGAATTGAGACTGCCATTAGACCATCACGGAGAATCTCTATTTCTCTGTTAAATGGGGCGAAAACTCAATAATTCGTCCCACTATAAAACTTGTCTATTCTATTGCCAAAATCAGGGATTCATGCTCTCCCCCATCCGCGTTTATCATCCACTTGGGACAAGAGAAAAGAAAGGGAAAAAAAAAAAACTTTCATAGTTGACTGATGTAATCAAAATAGGGTGAGATGATTGAACTTACCATGTATGAATTGGAATTTGAGAAGATTTCGACAATGAGAGTGAAGTAAAGTCAGATTTGACGCCCAGGCAAATTCTCAAACTTGTATGATGCGCAAGGAAATTTGAATTTTCAAAGCCAATTTCTATGAGATTTGTGCTGCCCCTGCTCTCCCGTTGTGTTCTTTTGTGTGTCAGTTCCCTTTCCCCTCCTTAAATAAGCAAAAATGTAACGGTAACCATGGGGAGGGTCAAAATTGAAGAGAGAAAAAAAAGAGGAAGATAACGGAGAAAAGGCCACGTTATAGTAGTTTTGACGAGTCAGTTTTATTAAAAAAAACTTTTTTTTAAATTTAAACAAATCTTTTTATTTACTTAAAATCAAATCTTATTTATTTATTTATTTTAATAATAAATCAAATTCATTTAAAACAAAATCTATTTTTAAATTTAATTAAAACCTTGCCTTAAAAATAATAAGGTAAAATATGTTATTTTTAATGAAAACAAATAAAATTTTATAATATAAAATATTAATATTAATGTTAATAATAAATAAATAAAATAATAAAATTTGAGCCGGATCAAATACGGTGTCAACAAAGTTTATATTGTATTCCATATTTGTTTTAATAAATTCAAATTCATAAGCCTAAACTTAGATGAATATCCTAATTTTTTTAAAATTAATTTGGATTAAACATAAAATTTATCATTAAATAATTACACCAAAACTTACAAATTTAAGAAAAAAAAAAAACTCCATTGTCGTTTTTGTCCAAGTCTAATCATGTGTATGAAATAATATATATGTTTTCCAACTCATTTGACACATAAAGAATATTTTTTCAACAAAATTTCAAATGAAAATCTATCGAGTGGTAAAATTAGTAAAACTTTTTAAAGTTCAAGGTGAAGATTACAACACTCATCTATAAGATGCAAATTAATACACATTGTCAAGTTTAGATTTAAAATTAATATTTTTTCATTACGTCTACTTGCATTTGTGCCCCCGAAGTAGAATCTTGATCAGTTGAATGAGGATTGTCTGCTGAGATGCTGAATGTGTCAATCTGTTGTGTGTTAGCCTCTTTTGTTGGGGTTGCAAGATCATATGCAAACAAATTCTCACATTGGCTAGGGAATGAGGTGATGTATATAAGGGAGGACAATTATCTCCATTGGTATGAGGTCTTTTTGGTGTAACCAAAAGCAAAGTCGTGAGAGTTATGCCAAACATGGACAATATCATACCATTGTGGAGATACTCGAGATACTTGAGGTACCGTTGTCCTTGACAAGTGGTATCAAAACCATGGAAACCTAGTTGTGTGGTAGGAATCCTCAGGGGCCGAACAAGAGTAATTAGTACGTCTAATAGTCATTACAAAACTTGTGGATGAATCTAAAAATAGAACAAAAAGTGTTCAAGGTAGCGAGCAATGACATGATCTGTGCTCGAATGATGAGCGACGAGCAAGACATGTCCTATCAAGTCGGGGTAGATCGATAAGAAGCTTATCATAGTCGGGTAGACTGATAGAAAGAGTGGTATATCTTTGTTCGAGGTGAAGAGATTGAAAGTGCGATAGAACAACACCTGATGTTCCAATAAAATGGTCCGTGTAGCGAGTGCCCTATCTGGACGTGCTGGATAGAAGCAGACTCCTGTTCCCATTCGGGAGTTGACGAGTTGCATGACTATTTGAGACAAAATACAAGTGACACTTTGTTCGAGAGAATGATTGTTGGAGTTGTAAGGTATACAAACAAAGTCCCACATTGGTTAGGGAAGAGGGTGATCCATAGTATATAAAACAGGACAATTATCTTTATTGGTACAAAGCATTCTGGGTGAAACCAAAAGCAAAACGAGAGTTATGTGCATTCACAATTTTCCAGCAGCATATTTTTATTTTTGAAACAACTTTAGCCTTCCAAAAACCATTCCATCTTCGCCTTCGGGTCTTAGTACTTCATCATTGCATATATTATTGTTTTTTTTAATTTAAAATGCTCGTGCATGTTTTAATGTTAATGATTAACTCAAATGTCTATGTTTCAAAATTTGTAAGAAATTTAGCATGTTTGTTAAAAAAAAAAAACTCATTTTTGTTAGTAACAATAATTCAAATATATTATCTTAATTATTTTTTCTTTAAAAATTATATAATGTTTGAGTAATTACGAGATAAAAATATTTAGCTCAAAATAAAATATTCAATATTTTTTATGAGTTCATTAGAATATTTTTTATGAGTTCATTAGAATATCTTACGGACCACCGTAAAATTTACAATTTCCAATATAATAATTTTTCTTTTTAACATATTTTTAACCTTATAAAATAACTCTGATTTTCTAATAACAAAATAAGACGTATTTTGATATAAAAAATGAATAATTTTAATTAATTTAATTATTAATAAAATTATAAACAGTCAAAAAAATAAATTATAAATTGTATCTTTTTACCTACATAAACGTGGATGACATACGGTAACAAACAAACTAGTAATACTAAAACACCAGATTAATTAAAATAACACTATCCAACACAATTAAAAACATCAATAACCATGGAAGGAAACTCTTTAAATTATAAGTACACGCACACTTCAACTCAACTAATTGATGATATTAATTGCAACCTATTCAACATTTACACAGATTAAATTGAAATTGGGAAGGTTTAAATTTGCTCAACCTTCAAACAGTAAAACATTAAAAAAAATAATAATAATGTTGTTGCGTGCACGTGCTCCATGTGCAAGAACCGTCTTTAATTGTCGGCATTAGCCAGATTTAAAGAACACCGCGCGACAAAAGGAAGAAAAAAAGATGAATAAATAGACCCAACTGAGCAAAATCCCACTCCTCTGTCCTGCAATTACACCCATTTCTCTCCCAAAATCTCTCCCAAACAACGCAATTTTTTCCTAAGCCAATTCTTCAGCTCACTCGAGAGACACAGAGATTTCCATTCTTTAATGATACGTTTTTAGGCATTTCCTAAGAACATCCAACAACCCCAAAAGAAAAATGGGTAAAAAATGGCAAATGGGGCAATACGGTGTAGGGTCTTCTCAAATCTCAATCAGTCGCTTTTGAGCTAGCTCTCCACCGACGCTCCAACCACTTCGCCTACTGTTCAATGGACTCAAGATCCACCTCAAAACCCAATTCTCTTCCCAAATTGCAGTTCTAGAATCTAGAATCACCACCCTCTGGCCTCTTTCCCTTTTCTCTCTCTCCCTCTTTAGGTTTTATGAGATTTGACTTTGGGAATCCGGCAATTTCTCGACCGGATTTGGTTGCTTGCGATCTCACTTGAAAAGGGGCTGTTGGGTTGACTAATGGTGGCTTGATTTTTGCGAAAGAAGATCATGTCGTGG